CATCCTGAGAATCCTTCAAATGGTACAATTGGTCATCCCAGAACACGAACTGACTTATGCTTTCTTAATCTCAGCATATTACTTCCATTCTTCCCACCTGCTTTGTTCTCCTTTGCCATATGAAAGATTGTGCCAAACATCCTCTACCAAGTGTATGATAGAAGTGAGATACATAAGGAGAGTAGATTGCTAGAGAGATGCCTCACAACAATCCCTGGAGATTATTATCTCCATTTCTCATAAGAAAACATTTCACAGTGTAATGTTGTATAGCTGATATAGAAAGACTCAGATCCAAGACTGGGTCTTCTGCTCCGGCTCAAGGGTACTGGCGTTCATATCTCAAGCAAAGTTATTAATAGAAAAACCCTGGGGCAGAGCAATGGGGAGACATTCATTTGCATTTCTTCTTTAAGAAGTGGAAGTAAATGGAAGTAAAATTTTCCTGTAATACAGATAGCATCTCTTTACAAAACTCTTCCCAAATCAAGCCTCCACAATTCAGTAAACACTAGCTACATGTTGGGGGCACCAGGGGCTGCATTTTAGAGCTCTCATAAGTGCAGGCAGAAGGAGAAGAGGGTGTCAGAGGATGAGATGGCTGGATGCCATCACCGATGCAATGGACATGAACATGGGCAAACTCCAGATGATGGTGAGGGACAGGGAGGCCTGGCATGCTGCAGTCCATGGGGTCACAAAGAGTCAGACACGACTGGGCAACAGAACAACAAGTACAGGGAGCTTCAGTCACTAACCAGCTACTCATACCTTCATCTGCATCAAATATTTGTGAACTCCAATTTGGAGAAAAAGACTTATTTAAGAGACTTATTCTTTTATGTCCCATAAATCATACTCTTGTATGGTTTCCTTGTCCTAAGTACCCATTGACAGAGTAAAAAGGAATTGAGTAATTTTCTGCAAAATGTTATGCTCTCCACTTAAAAGCAGTTTGTCATCCTGATCTAAATGTTTTAAGAAAATTAAGTAAGGACAATGTAGGGGACTGAGAAACTACGAAATGGGTATGTATGACTTTGAGTATCTGTAATCTCTGAACCATATAAGGGTTTTGCTTGTGTTTTGTGAGGCAACAATGAAGCATAGTGTTAGTCGCTCAGTAGTGTCCAACCCTTTGCACCCCCATGGACTCTACCCACCAGATCCCTCTGTCCTTGAAATTCTCCAGGCAAGAATACTGGAGTGGGTTGCCATTCTCTTTTCCAGGGGATCTTCCTAACCCAGGGATTGAACCCAGGTCTTCTGCAATTCAGGCAGATTCTTTACTATGTGAGCTACCAGGGAAACCCATGAAGCATATGGGAGAAATAAAAAGTCACGTTCCAGGGGAATCAGAAGAATATGAGAAAGATTAAAAGTGGAAGAACCTGTGCATTCCTAGAAAGCAGGACAGATAGAAAACTGGTGCTTTTGGTACTGCACTCATATTGTTGCCTAAGCATTCATTAAGATAAGGCTTAGTTCTATCTCTGAGAGGAGCAGAAGAGTTTCAGACCTGTATCATCTCCTTGGAAATGGTAGACATACCTCTGATGCACTAAAAATCCAATATACAGGACACATGCAAACCTCTGAGACCATGTATCTGGGAAGCTCTGAGGACGCTGCCAAGGCCAAGCTTGCTGACTGCTATTTCTTGCTGGATGTGTGAGTGCAAGAGGTGAAGAACTAACATGTTCTGGGTTGCCTAGTATTTGCTAGATATTAACTAAATGCTTCCTATACATTATTTTTAATTCTTGAAGAAATATTCAAGGTATGTATAAATATTCTTATTTTAGAAATGAGGAAATTATGATTGAGAGTGGTAAAGTAATGCTATTACCAAACCAAACTTGGTTCCCCTTACCCACTCACAGTTAAGCCAACCCACTGACACTGGGTTATAGTGAAAGTGGAAAAAAAGTCAAAGTGTCAGTCACTCTGTCATGTCTGACTCTTTGTGACCCCATGGACTGTAGCCTGCCAGGCTCCTCTGTCCACAGAATTCTTCAGGCAAGAATACTGGAGTGGGTAGCCATTCCCTCCTCCAGGGGATCTTCCCAACCCAGGGATAAAACTCAGGTCTCCTGCATTGCAGGCAGATTCTGTACTGTCTGAGTCACCTGAAAGAAAGTGCATTCACTGCAAGACCTAGCAAGGAGTATAGGCAGCTAATGTTCTACAGACCCAAACTCCCCTGTGGCTTTCAGGGAAAGATTTTTAAATACAGGGTGAGGGAGAGGGTTGTGGAGTAGGTGATTAGCTCATGGACATACTTCTGATTGGTTGGTGGTGAGGTAATCAGGAATCAACATCATCAACCTTCTGGTTCCAACTGGTCTGGGGTCTGTTGTTTGTGGTCAATGTGCAGTCAACTTCTTCCATCAGATGGGAGTTCAGTATCTGCAAAAAGGCTCAGAATATTATCTACAATCCTTGAGGGGAAACTAAATGTCCTTAATTTTGTTTAATGGCTAAATTATTATTATTTTGTCTACTTGACTGTTTTCCTTTGTTTCTACATTTTCTCACCTCTGGTTAAATTTGTTCTTTGGATCTGGGGGAAGACTTAGGAGGCTAAAGATTTTCTGCAAGCAAGAGACAGACAGAGGACATGGTCGGTGGGGAGGGGGAAGGTCTGTCCCTGGAAGGCCCCATAGGGTCTTGCTCAGTTACAGAGCCATGGTTTGTTTTCTCCCAGAAGTTACTTTGAACAAAAGATTCAAGTGAAAGTAATTTGGGAAGTGTAAACAAATTGATGGAGAACAGGGAAGTGATACAGGAAAGAGGTACTTTTAAGCCAGGATCACAGTGGGCAACTATAGCTTAAACCCAAGGAGAAATGTCAGAAATAATGTAAAACACACATATTAGAATTATCCACATTGAGGCATAAAGGAGCTGGAGTTTTTATTACAACTCTCCAAAGGCATTGGTTGAAGGCTGTTCTCAGAGTGGCAACACAGGCAGCATGAATTCCTCCTATTTTGTGAAAAGAGCTCTTAGGCATAGAGATGCATATCTGGAAAATTGAAACTGACTTAACATCAGTTCAGTTCAGTTCAGTCGCTCAGTCATGTCTGACTCTTTGCAACCCTAAGAATCGCAGCACGCCAGGCCTCCCTGTCCATCACCAACTCCCGGAGTTTACTCAAACTCCATCACGTTGGTGATGACACCAGCCATCTCATCCTCTGTTGTCCCCTTCTCCTCCTGCCCCCAATCCCTCCCAGCATCAGGGTCTTTTCCAATGAGTCAGCTCTTCACATCAGGTGGCCAAAGTATTGTAGTTTCAGCTTCAGCATCAGTCCTTCCAAAGAACACCCAGGACTGATTTCCTTTAGGATGGACTTGTTGGATCTCCTTGCAGTCCAAGGGACTCTCAAGAGTCTTCTCCAATGCCACAGTTCAAAAGCATCAATTCTTTGACCCTCAGCTTTCTTCACAGTCCAACTCTCACATCCACACATGACCACTGGAAAAACCATAGACTTGACTAGACAGACCTTTGTTGGCAAAGTAATATCTCTGCTTTTACTATGCTATCTAGGTTGGTCATAACTTTCCTTCCAAGGAGTAAGTGTCTTTCAATTTCATGGCTGCACTTAACATACTATGATCCAAATAGATGGTTGACGTATTAAAAACATCATCATCAATCTTCAAGTTTCTTCACTCAGCTCCAATATCTGCTTCTTCAGTGTGGTAGCTCAAATTCTAGAAGAAGGAGAAGGAAGGGTGAAGAAGGAAGAGAGAAAGAGAAAGAGGGGGGAAAGGAAGGGAAAATGACACAATAACTATACAGTCAGTGACATGAGGTCACTCACTCTGCTGGCTTACAATGTTAGCTCCTCCTTGTTAGCCCAAACTTTCCCAGCTACATCTTTTGAAAGTCCCTCATCTTTGGAACTTCCCAGTCCTGGGGAAATCAGAACTATTGTTTACCTCAGGCCGTAGATTGACTGATACTTTCTTAGTCCCAGCATAGTGCTTCTGCTTCTACCCATCCGCTTTGATTCTTTGAAAATTTTAAGATATTGTGCCAAAAATCCTCTACTCAACTGTCTTTGATAGAACTGGAATGCCCATGACAGGTAGTCTATAGATGGATTCCTCTAGTAGTCTTGAATTCAGGCTTCTGTGACAAAACAGATCTAGACTCAGGCATGGATTCAGTTTGTCACTGTGAAGAATATCACATCCCTCACCCCAAAGATACTTTCTAATCTACATACACCAAAGGAATGAAATTGAAAAGAGATGTTTGCACTGACCTTCATGAGGCCATCAGGAACTATAACATATAAGCAGTTTATGATCAAAGCAAGAATGGTGCTAATGACAAGACCACCTTCCTTTGTCTGAAAAAGTTCTATGATTCTGTCAGTTAAGAAACATCTTAACCACTTATTTTCTGAAGACTCATGGCTTTTAGGGAAAAACTTCTTTTATAATTCTCCCAGTGACTATGGAAAACAATGTAAACAACAATAAGGAAAGTTCTACTTGTTGGCTGCAACTTGGGGTGGGGGGTGGTCCTTGTATAAAAACTCTAGAACCAAAGGAGCCACTATATTCTGGGAAACTCATCATTAAAGAGGAGCCCACTCTCCACCACCAACACCATGACCCACTCTTGCTGCTCTCCTTTCCATCAGCCTATCTGCTGTAGGACCACCTGCTGCCAACCTACTTGTGTGACCCCCTGCTGTCAGCCCACCAGCTGTGGCTCCAGCCAGCCTTGCTGCTGTCCTGTCTGCTGCCAAACTGCCTGCTGCCAGCCCACCTGTTGCAGCAAACCCTGCTGTCAGCTCACCTGCTGTGAGACCATCTGCTGCCAGCCCTCCTGCCCCCCAACCGGCTATCAAACTAGTGAAACTACCTGCTGTAGGACCACCTGCCGCAAGCCTGCTGTGTGACCACCTGCTGTGGGTCCAGCAGCTGTGGATGAACATTCAGTGGGTCCAACTGCAGCCAGCCTTGCTGTCAGCCAGCTCACTGTACACCCGTGTACTGCCACAGACTCTGCTACCACCCCACGTGCTGCTGCCTCCTTGGGTGCCAAGACCAGAGCTGTGGATCCAGCTGCTGCCAGCCTTGTATTTGCCCTGTCTGCTGTCAGACCACCTGCTGTAGGACCACCTGCTGCTGCCCCAGCTGTGTGTCCACCTGCTGCCCTTCCTCCTGCTGATCCTCCCATCATGGAAGCATGTGAGACACATCAATCTTCTGAGAGCTAACCTATGAGTGCTCCAGTTACTGCCACAGGCTCCACTGCCAGGCTTTGCTAGCATCCAGCATGCAGAAACCATCTTTCTATGAGTCATATTCCTGATTAAGAGGCTGTGTGAGGTGGTATGGTAGCATGCAGTTGACTTCAGTCTGACTTTCTCCATCTTCCTTTTCTATTAAACTCTGTGATACCTGCAAGTTTTAGGTCTCCTTGCCTTGCAGTCATTGTGTCAGCCTTGCAAAAATGATCACCACTTTTCTTAAGTAACCTTAAGCACAAATCTTTGTGCTGGATTTCCTAGGTTTCTTTCATGCTTAGTAATTTTTTTCTCTAATGGATTCATTAGAGAAAATGACTCATTCTATTTTACTTCCTCCTTCTTAGGATTACCCTGTGTTGTCTTCCCAACTGTGAGAAAGCTTCTCTGATTCCTTCCAAAAAAAGTCTTTGCTGTCTTCTAGCCTATATTCCAACTTGACTTTTTGTACACCATTTTCTTTTAAGTCTTCTCATTCATACTGTATTTCTGAGCCTGACAATGACCCCTAAACTGGCAGAATCAAGATGATTGCCTCGCTCTTCTAGATGAGTAAAAGCCACTCGACTATTCATAGGTAGAATTTGGTCAAGAGCTAGGGTCCCTTTGGTTTGTGCTCCAGGGTCTTACAATAAGAAATTACTACAAGCACAAAGTGATCTGAGCACTGGGAATATGTGTGCTTTGGACTGCCTGTGTACCATTGAATATAAACCTTTCCATATGCAGATAATTTTCATGTCTATAAATGTATTCTCTCAGCTATTTCCCAAACTTCAGTGACCATTTGCCCACATATGGCCAAAAGACTGATTTTAAAAGCCAACTACTAGGTTTAAGAATCTTTTGTATTCCTGGCACTCTGCTGGCACATTTAAGCCAGAAGCTCATCTAAAAACACCTGCTTTTTTATGTCAGAATAAGTCATTCTGGGATGGTCTGGTTAGATAAGTCTGGGGGTTTCTATGGCCACACATAGTATGGAATATTAAAAAGGAATCAGTTGAAGCATATACACTTAGCCATATGTCTTATACTTCTAAACTCTAAGTCATTTTTTTCTCCAAATTAAAATATTATCAAGACAATTATGCATACATGCAGAACTGGGAAACGAGCTAACCACACCATGGAAATTTTACCTTAGAGCTATCCACAGTCTCTACAAAACATCCTGAAGTTTATGACATGAAACTGAAGCATGAATCAAATCCAGATGTGTCTGGGATTCTCTGAAGACACTGCTTAGTTTATAATAGGGGAAGGAGATATGGTGGGGTAATAATATGTTAATTATATTTAGATAGTAGTCTAAATCAGTGTTCTGCAACTTGGGACTGTTAATATCTGGATTGGTGGGTGGGGGGCAATGTTGTGAACATGGAGAAAGGTTAACAGCATCCTGCCTCTACCCACTAAAAGCCACCAGCGTCCCATTCTAGCTTGTGTGGCACAGAGCTAAGATGGATGGAGGAGCTGGATGAATGGTAAGAACACAAGTGTGCGATCTACAGAAGAACTGCATAGATATATAAAATTGGATAATAGTGAAATGTGACACCAAAACCCATAGGATGTTACAATAGCAATCTTTTAAGGGTAACTTATATGTTTCAATCTTGATATCAGAAGAGAAGAAGACCTCAAAATTAACGTGTTAGATGTCTCACCTTAAGAAATCAAGGGAAAACAACATGGCTGCCACAAACCACCTAAAAGAAAACAAATACTCAGAAGGGTGGAGATTAGTAAAACAGAAAATAAAGGGAAAATAGTGAAGCTTGACAAAGCCAAACTTTGGTCTTTAAAAAAAGTAAACAAAGTAGAAAAAAACTCTGGGAAGATTGAGCAGCTAAAAAGAAACAAGACAAAATTATTTTTATAAAAGAAAAATTAGGTGTAAAATATAGATTAAACAGAGACTTAAAATAGTAAAAATTATTTTAATTATCTGTTGTTGTATAACAAACTCTCCTAAATGACAGGCCCGTCAATCAAACTTGCCAGTAAACTCCACTTCCCCAACTTTGTTGACAATCAAACATTCTGCTAATTATCTTGTTAATTTGTGAGGCTTCTCAGTAGAGTGGAGCCTGCTTTGGTTTTTGTCTTCCTGATTTCCTGTAGATCCTTGTGATCTCTCTTTCATTTGTCCTCAACACAAAATCATGATCTCAGTCTTAGAAATAAGTTCATACCCTTTCTCTTTAAGAGGGAGGGGATATATGTATACATATAGCAGAATTACTTCATTGTATAGCAGAAACTAACACAACATTATACAGCAAAATTAAGAAATTTTTTAAAAGTTTTTAAAAAATAGACAAACAATAAGAATATATGCCACAAGGAATTATAGTCACTATCTTGTAATAATCTACAATGGAGTATAATCTGCAAACATCCTAAATCACTCTGCTGTATACCTGAAACTAGCACAATATTGTAAGTCAACTGTACCTTAAAAAACAAAAACAAACAAAATGAAGTATATCAGAGAATATGTGCAGGTTTAAAAAAAGAATCTTAGAAAGCAAATTCTTAGGCTTATTCTCTTTTTTTTTTTTTCTTTTTTTTTTTAAATTTATTTATTTTTTTTTTATCACAACCATAGTGTATCTTTTTTTTTTTTTTTTTTACATGTATTCCCCATCCCAGTCCCCCCTCCCACCTCCCTCTCCACCCAATCCCTCTGGGTCTTCCCAGTGCACCAGGCACGAGCACTTGTCTCATGCACCCAACCTGGGCTGGTGAACTGTTTCACCCTAGATAATATACGTGTTTCAATGCTGTTCTCTTGAAACATCCCACCCTCGCCTTCTCCCAGAGTCCACAAGTCTGTTCTATACATAGGAGTCTCTTTTTCTGTTTTGCACATAGGGTTATCGTTACCATCTTTCTAAATTCCATATATATGTGTTAGTATACTGTAATGGTCTTTATCTTTCTGGCTTACTTCGCTCTGTATAAGGCTTATTCTCTTAAGGATCTGCAAATGATCAGTATATCTGCAAATGATGATTATCAACCATATTATATCAATGTGCTCGTTACTCCCGTGTCCGACTCTTTGCAACCCCATGGACGGTCCACGGAATTCTCCAGGCCAGAATACTGGAGTGGGTAGCCTTTCCCTTCTCCAGGGGATCTTCCCAAACCAGGGATCGAACCCAGGTCTCCCGCATCATAGGAGATTCTTTGCCAGCTGAGCCACAGGGAAGTGGACCATGCACTGGGATTTTGTTTTGCATGGCGATTCCTTTCAAAGTCCTTACACATTTATTGCATCTCGTATTATCTCTTCTACTCTCATAGTGAGTCTCATAGGAACGCCACAAATCGAACAGAGCAAGGATCATCATTTCCACGAATGAAAAAGTCACTTGCCTCATGTGAAACAGTTCATAATTGATAGAATTGAGTCCAGTAGCCCAAACCAGATGGTCTGACTACTGATCCAGGACATTTTTATTTAGATTTTACTGTAAATGAAAATAATTCTGGTGACTGAGTTTGGAGAAGTTTCGCAATTTGAATTGCTTGTCTGCCAATGGGAATAATAATACCTTGCACATGCAGGTCACTTCTCTATCTAAAATGGCAGTTTCCAACTCCGTTTCCCACATACCTACAAAAAATAGCAGCTGGTTTTAATGACTCAAGAAAGTGAAAGGAAACTCATTGCCTGAGGGCTCTGGTCTGCGGCTGAGTAGATCATTCCATCCTGTTTCCTGACACTATCAGAGGACATTGAAAAGGAAGCTCACCTACAGTATTTTTTCCTCCATATCATGGAAATGGAAGTCTTGCTTGGTCTCATTCATTTGGTGTCAGACACTATATTTCCCCCACCCCCCTCCCCCCAAAAATGGCCACAGCAGTGGGTATAGTCCTGTTTACTTTCCAGAGACTTGCTAAGTTGTTTGAGTCATGTCCAACTCTTTGCAACCCCGTGGACTGTAGCCCGCCAGGCTTCTCTATCCATGGGCTTCTCCAGGCAAGAATACTAGAGTGGGTTGCCAAGCCCTCCACCAGGGGATCTTCCCAACCCAAGGATTGAACTCAAGTCTCTTACATCTCCAGCATTAGCAGGCATATTCTTTACCACTAGCACCACCTGGGAAACCCTAGAGTCTGAGGGATAGGAGTAATTGAGCAATGAATATATAACCCTCTGATCCAACCAGTTTCTAGGTTCTGTAAGACAAAGATGGAGCTTAAAAGATTCAATATCGTGGGAGGGGGGGATCGGGATGGGGAATATATGTAAATCCATGGCTGATTCATGTCAATGTATGACAAAAACCACTACAATATTGTAAAGTAATTAGCCTCCAACTAATAAAAATAAATGGAAAAAATTTAAAAAAATTTTTTAAAGATTCAATATCAAAGTACTAGCTGAAAATGGAAGGACTCAATAAAGAAAAGAAACCAGGCACTCCTGGAAGCCATGGTGGTATAGTTCTGCAAGGTGCGAGACATATTTTCTGAAGAAGAAATGAACAAAAAGATCTCCAGATATTTACTAGAAAAAGACCTGATATTGGCTCTGGAAGGAAAAGACTATTTTGTGACCAAAACAGTCTTCTTGTGTTAAATCCTAGAAGAACTCACAGGGACAGGGATTCTGTGAAGAGGCTACCAGGCTTTCTTCATAATGGGGAGGGATAAGCTGAGGGACTATCATTTACTGAGTTAATACAAGTATTAAGCTTGATATTTTCTCATCATTTGTAATTCATAATCTTGCCATAATAAAAGGTTTTATTTTCCCCATTTTACATAGGAGGAGATATAGGTTACGGGACTTGCTTCAAGTTGCACCATTAGCCAACAGTTTACTTGGCTTCAAGCACTAGGCTGTTTGCATCATACTCATTGGGTGCCCTGTGCTCCCGGCTCCCACCAGGCTGGGGAG